TTAGCGCTTTTTAAAGTGGACACTATTCCGGCGGGAAAATATTCTCATGACAAATTTTGTATCTCCTCCATTGGTGATTTAAAATATAGAAGTAAATTTAGGTAAGCACAGAATAAACCATTCCCAACAAAATTTTTGATGGTTTTTCATTGATGGATCAACCTAATCTTGATGGTAACCATTAATAATTCCATCATGAACCATTATATTTTTTTTAGTAACCAACCTAAGTAACCATCACCTCAATGTAGGAATTTGGACTGATTTATGAGGGTCCAACATAAGAATAGCAACTTGTTTTGATGGTTTGTTCATCTTGAACCAACAAGAAATCCCATTAAACCATCGTGGAGATGTATTGCTGGAACCATCATGGATCATCATGGATTGTTGGTCCATGAGAGTCAAACTTCCCTTGATGGTTAACCATCATAGTATTAAAGTAGCGTTTTCCAACATTTTAATGATGGAAGTTTGGTGGCATATCAAAAACACACAATGGATGAATACATAATGGAAAATGTTGGATGATGGTGACCATCAAAGAATGTTGGCCATGATGAATCTCACTGGAAACCAACATAAACCATCAAAAATTTTTGATGGGACCATCAGGAATTTTGACTTGAGTCAAAGAAGTTTCAAAAGCTTGATTTAGAAAAAAAGAAAAAAAAATGATCAAAATGCAGACAATTATTGTAAGGTTACTTCCTTAGTAGGTTACTTCCTTAGTAAGTTACTTCCTAAGTAGCCCTTCAATGATTTCTTTGAATTTCGATATTTTTGAGGAAATAAAATTTCTGCATTTAAGACGTCATGTTTTCATCTTGGTTTAAATTTCAAATTAAAAATGCTTGCGATACAGAATTTGCCAGGAAGCGCTTCTCCCGCGCGAGAGAGCATTGTTTAAAGTTTTGCCACTAGACTTAAAGTCATATATCAATTTAACTGATTCGTATCACTATTCAAATAACCCGAATCATTGATTTGAATCACCGATTAAATCTTCAACTCTACGAAACAATTCCATAAAGTCTCGAGAGTGCAGAAATGGTTCTTTTCTGCATAAGCTTGAAACCGTCACCCTGTTACACTAGATTAAAAGCCAACATGAGATACCTTAGAGTAGACGGAGACTAATCGAATGTTCCTCTCGATTAATAAGGGGGCGAAAATAGAAAAAGGGGGTCGATCGACCGGTGTCAACGTTTCCCGATTGTATTTTAGCGTGCCCACTCCCATTCCCGATCCGGGAAAAATAAAATTCCGGGTATTTTTAATTAAAAACCAATCTTTTGGATTACATGTCTATCCAGCTGATAGATGAACGATTGGGGCTCGTAATATAGAAAGGTCACTATAAAAACAGTATTGGTTCATTATATTTATACAGCATATTTCTATTTGCAAATAGTTAGAACGTGAGCGAAATTTAACAAATCGTGTTGTCTAATTTAAACTATTCCCACTATTTTTATGTGCCGTGTGAAACAGTCCAATTTGATTCATCTTTTTTTATTCTGGAATTTGGTTTTCAATATTCTTCTGATATCTTAATTCTGGAAATCGGTCTTGAATAATCAGTCGATTATTCTTTACTTCAGAAATTTATTTCTTTTTCTTGATTTGGTCTTGAATATTTGGTCCTTCTTTTACTCTATTCTGTAAATACTTATTTGATTCTTTTTTCATTTCTAATTTTCAATATTCATTTTTCTTGAGTACTCATTTGATTTTTCTTTGTTTTGATTCTGTAATTTAAACTTGAGTGTTTATTTGATTTTTCAATTCTGAAAAATGGTTTTGAACATTTATTTCATTGTGCGCAGCGTTCTTAAAGGGTGCTATTTTAGATTTTCGTTTTTTAAAAGCCCTTAGAGGTGCTTTTTTTCATGTGGGTTTTTGTAAAAAGTTCTTAATTTTCCCTTTTCGAAAATGTGATTTTTTTTTCTTTACAATGTCGATTTTCTCCCCGTGTATTATGTAAAAGCGTGCTTTTCATATTGTTCTTTTCAACGTTTTCAAAATTCATTCAACCACAATCTAATTCGGCGTACCATCGGTCGTTAGAGTATGAAAGCACCAATCATTTTACATGCTTGATGAAATACTTACAAGTTCGCATGTGCATCTACTGAGCTGGGTTCGGTGAGATTCTTGCACTCTCATGTGCACCTCTGCTGCATTTTGCAAGATATTCTCAATTTTAGACTTCATTTTCCACCCTCTGATATTGAACCAAAAAATCTCTCGATCATTTTATAATGGTTAATATAATCAAGAAAAGAGTTCTTTGTCAGAAACTAGTTATTTTATCATGATCAAGTAAAGTCTTCGAAAATCATTTTGTAAATGTATGTAGTACTTAAAAAGTGCTTTTTTTTATCGTGTCCATGGACAATTAAATGGCCTCGTGTGCCTTCAAAACTGCATCCGCTAGCTCCAATACATCATTACTGTAGAGGATCTCACAAAGTTCTGAAGCCAGTGGCACCATACCCAGTTGTAAAACCTATGGTGTAAGGGCTGGGCATTCGAAAATGTGATCTGGGGTAAGTTGGATATCGGTACAGTTCTAGCAGGGAATATAAGTTCTTATTTTGTCGGGAAGAATTTTCATCCCTAAAAAGTGCTTAAATGGTGCTTATTTTTTGTTGTAAGATTTTGCTATGGTATTTGGTTTTTATTTATTTCAACTTAAATATTGAACATTCATTTGTAGTTCCACTATTTGCGAATAAACATACTAAATAACAATGTTTTTATTCGGTAAATGCCCTGCGTATCAACTTCAAGGAAAGTTATGGTTATACTTAGCCATAACTCGCGTGTTACAAAACATGTTTTATACTTAAAATAAAAGCAAATGTTTTTAAGAGTAAATAAATAAAACAACCTCTATTCTTTAGCCAAAATTTATTCAAAATTCTATTAAAAATACTAGTCTGAATTGCCTCCTTCAATTTTATTATTCAAGCATCTCACGAAATCCAATTCGTTGTCTTCTTTTTTCGCTGCTTAAGAAACTAAAGGAACACGCTACCTACGCAAATTGTGAAACGGTAGCATAGAAAGGCATTTCCCACCATAGGAATAATAATATCACGTGGTTAGGGCACGATATCTTCACGTCGACACCAGCAAGCATACACCCCCCAAATGGACGGGACGAGAAATTGAGTCTTTAAATATTAACGGCCTCCATCCCGCGCGGAATAATTCCCGGAAGTATAATGTTCTGGGGAGGTTTCAGGTAAGACACACACTTTCTCACTGTAGCCGTAACGTGACTTATTCCGTTGGCGAAAATCTCTTAGAGTTTTCTCTAAGATAACGCCAATATAAACACTGGCGTGTGAAGCTGGATATTTTTCGTTGGCCCAACGTCTTCGTGGGTCTTAAAATGATTTTTAGTGGGGTATTTTATCATTTATAGCTTAAATAGGAGTCATAGAACTTAAAGCACGTTTATTGTGTCGGGCGCATTTGTTATGGCGCGTTAGCAGTTGCCACTAAAAAGTATATAACTGTAGCATAAAATCGGAAAATGGGTATTTTTATACTACGAAATGTATTAAATATATCGTTATTGGAATGTTTTTATATATATTCCATAATTTCGAAATTTTTTTATCGATAGATTAAAGCGGGGTTCTTAGGTTTTATTTATTTAATTAATTGTAAATTATCTCAGTTTTTTCTCCGTGATGAGCATTTGATGTAAGTTTAACTACGTAAATGCCGAATTTCTGAATTATCATTTGATTTAAACTGTCATTCACGTGGAATTCTATTTTTAGGAATTGTCACACTTATCTGTTTTTAGAAGAAGCGAAAAGTAGAAAAATTATGTGGAAAATTTTAAATTTATCCATTCTTATAAAAATAAAACTTGAAAAAATAGAAAAATTTATAGATTTCTAAGGAAGTAAAGAACAGAGATAATAGGTTTCGTGTTTTATGCGTTTATTTTTGTAATATATTTTGTTTTCTTTTCGTTAAAATTTGGTTTTAGTTGAATTCCTTAAATGTGTAATTTGTGTAGTATCATTATTTTTTTGATTAAAGCAGTCGACTTTCGTGTATGTATGATTCTATTATTGGGAACCGCCATAATTATTTTTTTATTTTTAGAATAAGTCAGAAATAGAAATGTGAAATAGGAAATTGTATGCATTATTATTAGAAACAGAAAAGAAAATAGAAGACTGTATCAAAATTGAAGAACATGTTTTGTGCTTTTTTTTTTCATGTGTAATTGGTTTATATTTTATATAAAATTTGGTTTATGAATTTTCCCAATTATTTCAATAAAATGTGAGGCGCTCGTAAAAGTCTATTTTTGGAAAAATAGAAATATGAAATAAAAACTTTCAAAGGTCATACTTACCAAAGGTCGATCTGGAGCTCTGAAACAAATACTGATTTTGTCTAATTGTGAAAATTGATTCTTAATTTTGAGATTTTATAAAAATCATGAAAACCTCTGGTCAGTCTTTGGAATCGAATTCTTTCCGGAAACGTCTGCGGGAAAATAAGATTTTGTTCTTAAAAAGAAAGATAAATCATGTTTTTAAATCTGTTGTTTTTGTAAAATTATGAATTTACTTAGTGTCCGATAGACTACATATTTCAAAGGGAAAATATAGTAAATGGACCATTTTTAAAGTGATAGATATTGTAGTTTACGCACGCAGAATTTTCCTAAATATACCCCTAACTCATGCATTGGTAGAAAAAAGTAATTATCTGCCCTATTTTCTAAAATATACCCAAAAATTGAAACAACTGGCTGCAAATCCTTTAATAAACAAATTGGAAATGAAACAGGTTTGCTAACAAGTTTATCTTTCTTCCGTGCTAGCTCTTAAAACTTAAATGAGTTATCATTTTACAATTATGATATTGAAAAGTTATTAAGTTAAGTAAAAGTTTTATTTATCTATAAATATTTAATTTTTTTTTAACTGTCATTACTAATTGAATGATTTTGTTTTCAGGGAGATGCAATTACAATAGAACCATCGAACATTCCTCAGTGTGTATCCAAAGGAAAGTCAGAAGTAAGTTTCTGTTCTAAAAAAATTTTGTTACTGCTGTTGTTGTTTCTAATGCTACTTGCCAATACCAGCAAGCCTGCTTAGTGAAAGCAAGGGAATTTAAGGCAGAGCTGGCGTTTCTTATCTTTCAGTGGCGCCACCTATTGCCACGAATATGACTTCAGCCACACACTCGCCACAGCTTGTTTATAGGGTGGACCCATTCATACATCCATTCATTCATCAACGAATCGTAATTTTGACCTGAACCAGCGAACAACAATCTCCAATTCAATGCCACCAGAGATATAATTTGTTATAGAAACATAGAGGACTTTGTGATCCAACTGATTTAACGTGCATCAGTTACCATTTACTACATGGGAAAACTTCGAAAACACGGGGAAATAGCAAATTTTTAAAATGTTACTTAACCTGTTTTTTTTAGCCAATAAATTTGCGAAATTTTAAGAAGTTAATCAAATTTCTCCTCCATTAAAGTCTATAATTGTATAAAGTATAAAGAAATATTTTAAAGGAGTTCATTTTTTTTTTTTTAAGTTTTACGAATGTTTTTATTATATGTTATGTAACTTTTACAAAATTAAGTTGCACAAGCAAACGTTATATCGCCTCTATATAATTTTCACGAAATCGAAAATGCTGATTTTTATACAATGTAAAAACTCCATTAAATTGGTTATCTGCATTTCGTGATGTTTTTTTTTTTCTTCATCCACATAAAAAGCTTTAGGTTCTATATTTTCTTAATTAAGTTCGCACGGTCAACGCCTGTGGAAACAAATTAACTGATTGGTGCTTCCGAAAAATATAGCTCGACCGTGATGAATAAAAAAAAAAAAATTGGGGGGAAAAGAAAAATCTTTTCTTTTTAAAAAAGAAGAAGAGAGGGAAAAAAAGCAACTGAAAAAGCACTCATCTTAAGCAAGTATCGATCACTGGCGAACTGATTAACATGCATTACAGCATCGGGTGTCCGGAGTTTAATTTTTTTTCTACTCTTCCAATATCGCGTGGCAACGTAGAATCATAACAGATATAGGCTAAGTGAAGGGGTGTTGTTCTAACTCTCTTCGAATTTTTATTCCTTTTTTTGGGCAGCTTAATATTTTATTAATCGTTTTCATTTTAGTAAAAGGGCTTTTTGAAAAGGGAGTTGAAAATTCGTTGGAGTGGGCTTTTAAGAACGAAATTACTATCTAGAAGCAGATGCATGGCCTGCAGAAGCCTGCCATTACGATTTTTTTTAACTTCTGCAGTTTTTTTTGGTTTTTCATTAAACAATTTGTCATTAAAAACTGAGTTTGCAGATTGAAATAAAAAGAAGTAGTGCAGTAAAATGCATTTTCCTGTCGTGACTTTAATTTTTTTAAACATGAAAATATATGTAATGATATTTTCAATAATTGCTTGTTTTTTGATGTCTAAATGTTTTGTCATAGTTTAATTATATTTAGGTTTACACATTGCTTTGTACTCTTTTAAGTATAAATCTGGTTAGTATCTGCGTGGTACGATAATCGAATGATCCGGTTTTTTGCAAACAGCCACTGAAATATTGTAATGAACCTGACTTTAATTAGAGTTTTTTAATTAGCTCTACGCTTTAACAAGTTGAATGCCACGCTAATCTTACATGGTCTGGCCAAAATGATTTTTGTGTGTTCGATATTGCATTAATTTCTTCAAACCATTTTAGTAACGATAATATTTAAAAAATGAAAAGCATTAAAAAATTACTCGAATCATGTGTTTCTAATAGTCTTGGCTTCACCGGTCACCGCTGATACCCGTTGCGCTACGAACAAACTCAGTACCGGTCACCGGTGACCCCCATGGCATTCAACACGTTAATTAGCTCATAGTTTAATTATATTTAGGTTTCCACATTGTTTCGTACTCTTTTAAGTATAAATCTAGTTAGCATCTGTGTAGTAGGATAATCGAATAATCCGGTTTTTTGCAAACAGCCACTGAAATTTTGCAATGAGCCAGGCTTTAATTAGATAAGTCTCTATTTCTTAATTAGCCTGATACTTTTCAGACTTACTGCAGTGAACCCACATACTTTTAGGCTAATTAGTATTGTGTTGTGCTGGTGCACTTGTTAAACTAGTACTATATACTACGAAAAAAAATTTATTACTATTTTTTTTTAAATAAGTTATTTTTCATTTAAGTAATCATGACGTAATCATTAAGTAATAATCAAACTATTACGTTTCAAGAAAGAAAGAGGAAAAGTCGCTTTTTGATAAAATTGGACTCATATGCTTGCATAAATGCTACAAAACATACAAGCTGGTATTTGCAACGCTATTAGATATGTAGCAAAAGAAAACAAGTTTTATGCTTTCCCATTTATCGAATCATTCATTATCAACAAATTCATTTATAATGAAAATAATTGTTGATAATCTATTAATAATGATTAAATTTGTTGATATTCCATAATCAGCAAACTTTTCTTGGTTACAAATTTCACAATTCCTGAACGCTTTAAGCAAAATATGTTCTGTACTGCAGAGGGTATCTCTATGCTCCGTGGTTCTTCAAGAAAAATATGCTCGTTCTAAAACAAATTAATCAATATGAAATTTTTCTATTTAAATATCTTGGTTTGCTAGTCTCTCTATCTATACAACCAATGATAAACAGCTTATCTAAGTAGTGGTTTTGAATGCTCCCGTTAAAGTTTTTTTTTTTTTTGAATTTGAACCCTAGTCAATTTTCATATTTAGTTTATTGATAATTTACCGTAGATACATCTTTAACGAATATTTTTTAATTACGAAATTGACTAATAATTTAAATAATTTACATACGCTACATGTGGGAGCTAAAGGGTGCATCTTTCATCAAATTTTAATGCCTAGACTTGTTTGCAATTCTGAATGATACCGACTCAACAATGTCTACAAATTTGTCATCGTAAATTATTAGTTTTAGGCTTGCGTGTTTATTTTTATTTTTAGAGCTTGCTACCTGATGACCAATTATCGTGTCCATAAATGTCGTCTTTTCAGACTGCCCGAGTTAAATTCCCCGCCAAATTGAGACGCTCTGTCAGGTTTTTCAGGAGACAACTCTGGAAAATTTTCTGTCCGTCGGATGTCATCTAAAGCTGCTGGACCGTGAAACGATGTATTTGACGTTCTTCTTCTATACTTGATGCCAAGTTGGCGTGTGGTTTTGATTTCCTTTCCAAGTTTTGATTGGCTAGGATGGTGTGAATTGACAGCCAATCACTTTTTTTCTATTTGGATGTTGAAGGCGATACTTAAACGGGATATTTTTTTTTTCATTCGACAAAAACCATTAGAAAAAATATTACCACGTTCTCACAAGATATTTTTTAAAAAAGAAACTGCTGATCTGTACGTGTTATTTTCGTTTTTTTATTAGAGTAAACGAACTGATTGGATTTGAGGTGTTTTATTTGTTCTTGTTTTCAAGCTTATTTGACGAAACTTTTAATTGCACATTTATTTTAAGATTTATCATTTTTTTTTAATTGTTTTCATTTAAGAAAGATTTTTTAAAGATTTTGAAAACGGTATCGTAAATGTTTAATGGTTGGCGAAAAAATAGAGGAAATTTGAGTTCCTTATTATGGATAGTTGGGACAATACTATATAAGGTCTACTATTTATAGTCTTAATTACTATTTAAATATATTAATCTGAATCAAAATTTATGATAAATAGGATCAAAAAGTAAGCATAACACAAAATCATAAACAAAAATGCCCCATTAGCATATTTCTATAGAAATGAACAGAAATTTTATGTATATTTATGTTGATGATGATTTACAGTTGATTGCATCAATCATGTACATTGATAGATGATTTCCAATGACTGAATCAGTCAAAAGATTATCTTAGTGTCTTGATATTTAATTAGATATCAGTTAACGAAAAATATGTGAAATTTTTATGAATAATAAGCTTTAATAAATATAATCATCTATCATTTACATTGATAGATGATTTCCAATGACTAAATCAGTCAAAAGATTATCTTAGTGTCTTGGTATTTAATTAAATATCAGCTAAAGAAAAATATGTGAAATTTTTATGAATAATAAGTTTTAATAAATATAACAAATGATAGATGATTTACAATGACTAAATCAGTCAAAAGATTATCTTAGTGTATTGATATTTAATTGGATATCAGTTAAAGAAAAATATGTGAAATTTTTATGAATAATAAGTTTTAATAAATATAACAAATGATAGATGATTTCCAATGACTAAATCAGTCAAAAGATTATCTTAGTGTCTTGATATTTAATTAGATATCAGTTAAAGAAAAATATGTGAAATATTTATGAATAATAAGTTTTAATAAATATAACAAATGATAGATGATTTCTAATGACTAAATCAGTCAAAAGATTATCTTAGTGCCTTGATATTTAATTAGACATCAGTTAAAGAAAAGTATGGGAAATTTTTATGAATAATAGGCTTTAAAAGTATAACAATAAGGAAGCTAAATAATCGATGAAAGAAGAAGAATAACGCCATTTGTAAATACCGTGACACATTCTAAACATTAAAAATAAACCGAATTCAGCGTAAAAAAAGAGGATGATAAATTCCCTAATTATTCCCTATAGGGACATCGCATCAAAAATCAACTAAGACGTCCATAAGTAAGAAATAAGATTAACAATTGAGAGTACTCACTGTTTAAAAGACAAACACAAGAAAAGGGGAAAAGGGCAAAGTTTTTTACACCCAGGATTTTCATTTTCTTTTAACATAATAGCTGCTCTTACAATTTTTTTCCCTTATTCGTAGAGCTCCATCAATTCCTTATGAGGGAAAAAATAGGCCGATTCAGTTCCTCCATGAAGCGTGCCCCGCTGCAAGGACCGAGATAAGAAAATGGACCCGTCCCATCTCCTCTTTGCTCCCCTTTCCAACCCACGCTCATGGAATCCTTTATAAGAAAAGAAAAAAATAACAAGAAAATATAATAATAATGAATGAA